CAAGATTACCTAAATGAAACCGAATGCTCGGCTTATCCTAAACAGGGTTTGTAACGCCAATTGAATTTTGTAACGGCCTGTGCTGTCCTCACGATGTGGCACTCAGAGTTAGTGCGGTACCATGTGACTGACATCGGAGTCATTGGAGGTTTGGCTGGCATAGGTAGGATTTGATCCCAGATCCAGCCCTAGCCACGAGGCTTGAGCGGCATCACTTATCGGATATCATGTCCTCGCCTCAAATTTTATTCGTGATCTGCATGTAGCCTACCAGTGAAGAGTAGGAAGATGTCTGTCAGAGATTGCGTCACCGGTTCAAAAATAGGCTTCAGATTGAATTTCCTGCAAAAATAGGCCGCTTTGCAACACGCGGTGTCCTCAGTGGAAGCCTCTACATTGAGATTCATCGAGCCGCGACCGCCGTCTTGTTGGATTAGTCGACGGGGTTTTACAACTTATCGAACCACTAATCGTTTCTGTTCAAACCAACCACCGGGTTGGATGGCAGCGATTTGATCGAACTAATTCTGCAAGCATTTTTAAATATATTATTAATTTTATATGTATTTATATCCGCTCTTACAATCGGCAAACTCTTTTAGCCCTCAGGCTCCAACATTTTTAAAAGAAGTCTTGTAATTTGTTTTGTACTACAACTATCATTTTTTGCAATGTCTAATCATCTGCAGATATGTATGGATTGCAAGGGTAGAATCTGACCTGGGATTTGATCCCAAGAGCCAGGGTCAACCGTCACGTTGGACCAATTTCGAAAATTTTACGACCCCCTCCCCTTCTAGAGGGCCTCGATACGACCCCCCCTCAGGGTTAACCCTTCACGACCATCCTCCACCACCCTCGCCTGCCATCGCCATCATGGGGCGATTCTATAGTATTTGATTCTGAGACCAGTCGACACAGCCCAACTCCGCCCACTTTTCCCTCCATTGCCGTCGAGTTGCCGTCGAGCGGGGAGGGGGGGGGGTATATCAAAATTTTCGCACTCAATCCAAAATCCCAGCCTACGAGCCAATCCGCTCTCCGTTCATAACAAATCATCACATGAACGCTACCTCGCGAAATACGACCCCGCACCTCCTCGTTGGACTTTGTCCAACGGACAGTTGACCCTGCCCAGAGCGTGTGTGGTAACTTTTTCAACAGTATTCAGAGGAACAAAACACCTACTGTAATAGTTCCCAGGCGGAAGTGGTGCAGTGGCAAGTGGCGCGCTTACCACGCGAGCGGTCCGGGATCAAATCCTGGGTCGTGAGTCGCCCGGGCCAACCAAGCCTTCCATCCCTCCGGGGTCGGTTAATTGGTACCAGACTTGTCTGGGACGGATGACATCACTCATCTATTTAATTGCCCCTTTCAAGGCATAGCATAAACCGACTGCATTCAATACCCCACAACGATTCTGAATGGGAGTAGCATGCGTGGTGCATCACAAAAAGGGATTGACCAACGGAGAGGGTTCGTTTTCTGCCCTGCTATAAGTTTCGAGCACCCGGAGCCAGTGCCAACCAACCATTCGCACTATTCGGAGGAGGTCGCAATTTGTGGTGGTTGAGCTTGGTCGCAAAGACGAGATTCTATTCGAGGGTTATTCTACGGGTTTGCTGGAACTTTCACGAATTAAATTAGGGTAAACTAGACAAAATTGATGGCTAGGCGAAATCGCTGGTTTGCTGCTTCCTGGTACCAAACCAATAACACAATTACTCCCCCCCTCACGGTCTGTTTTGGATGAAAAAGTGGGCGGTGTTGCCTGGTGTGTCGATGGTATCAGAATCAACTACGAGTAGAGAGGAGGGCTGTCGTATTGGGAGACCCTTCTGAGACATGGCGGTGGGGATCGAATCCTGGCGCCGTAAATGACCTTTTCGGGATAGCTTTGCACTCGATGAATCTCTCTTTTAGTTTGTGATTAAAAGTCAAACATCAATAGCAACTAAACGTGTCGAATTTGACTTCAGGATACTCCATGCTTAAAGTCCATAGATTCGCATGTTTGATAGCTAGTTCTTGACCTGCAATTACGCGTGCAAGAATTATCCTTGTCTAAATTCAGTGAGCCCTATGCCCTAGAATAAAGATCTAATTAGAAGACAGTGAGGATGTGAAATCTGCTTCTTCTGCGCCGTTTACTGCGGCAAAGAAAACGTAGGCGCAAAATTAATGACCGCAACTGGCCCCGAAACTGTGGCGTACTAGCGACGCTTCTTTGCCTTGTCTTCCACCAGTTTATGGTAAACAACTCGTAAAAAAACGCGCATGTAAGAATTTTTGATTTACAGAAGACCTACTCGGCCCGATATCGACGAATACGTCGAGGAAGTATGGGACCGTATCATACATGGAAAAAGGAGTTCATGTTGGATCGATGTTGTAACGAAAAGCGACTATCTCAAAGAGGTGAGGAGAAAACCGGCAAAAAATCGATAACACATGCTACAACGTTTGCGTGAGCGTAAAATCGTATAGCATACATTATACGAAGTTATACGATTCCGCTTGAGCTTTTGACCCTTTCGCCCATAGTTCTTTTATAGTTTCTAATAGTTATTTAGCCGTCTATTCATGATTTTTCGTGCTCTCCCAGAAGTAATGCACCAATCAATATTTTCCCCGTGTATGAAATTTTTAGTCCTTTGTTATATTTAACCAGTTTAGCTCCGCCCGCTACCGCGCGCATGACACGGAAGCCTTTGATAGGACTGAGAATCGGTGAAGCTTTGGGTCTCACCGCTTAACTATAGCTGCTTCCTTAAATGCATTACTGTCCGTTGCTCATCTTGGCTGTATCTCACTGTTTGATAAGCGCAGTGAAGTGCACAGCTAAAGTGATGTATGTAAACAACCACCATGCATCGAGTATCGAGGTAATTTAGCGGTCGAATAATTTTTGATGATCTCAAATTAGAATGCCCAGTATTCACTATCGTATTTATTCGAGCATCTCATTCATCCTCAAGAACTCGAGAAGGTGCAGCGGTCGAAAGGTGTTTGAGTTTACAATTATAACGCTAATGAAATGATATTGAAATGAAATGCACTATCTGCAATCTGGTTTCGAGTGATCTCTACGTTCGTACGCATATCATTACTATTAGTCCTCAGCTGTCGTTATCACTTTTTGAAAACCACAAAATATGTTACCGTCCCACCCCCATATCATGTCCCAAAATCAGTTCCTGACGACTGCTGCGAAGCGCACTATATATTTCGTGAAATTTGTTTTCAGCGCCTCTTATCTGCTCTTATCAGTCGTTATCACTTTGTAGACCCCCACCAAATATGTTCCCGCCCCACCCCCTATACCATGTCCCAAAATCAACTCCTGACGACTGCTGCGAAGCGCATTATATATTTCGTGAAATTTGTGTTTCAGCGCCTCTTATCTGCTCTTATCAGTCGTTATCACTTTGTAACCCCCACCAAATATGTTACCGCCCACCCACTATATCATATCAAAAAATCAGCTCCTAACGACTGCTGCGACGCGTGCTATGAATTTCGTGACACACGCACACACACACACACGTACAGACAGACATAGCGTTTTATATATAGTAGGGATTCTTCATTTGCCTATTGTAGCTATGATCCTCCGCAACGCCACATGTTTGCTAATATATACACTGAATGCCTGTAATCTTCTATTTGGACCGTTTCTACTAGCATATCAATATGGTATAAGGCAAGAAGGAGTTCCCACCCGCGTTGTATTTAATCACCCTGTCTAACGATAGTAAGGGATTTCACTTGCTTATATATGTTCCAAAAACTGCGTCAAATGGTCGCGTGCACTATACCAAAAGGAACAAACACAACCTGGTTCAGGATACGGTAACGTGGTCCCCAGCACGGACGTTGGCAAACTGGTCTGTATAGCATACTGTGTGATTGGAATCCCATTGATATTCCTAGTACTCTCCAATAATGGTCAATTCGTTGTTGATGCTTACTGGATCATACGGAGAAGCTGCGGAAGCAAGGTATTGATTTATTGATCGGCCGGTAATGACAATTTTTATAGTGGAGTTTCTTAAGGAAAATGTCGTCTCCAAAGGGCCTGCCTCTATGGCTGTCTGTTATGCTGCTCTGCTTGCACTCACTTCTAGGAGGCCTTATCTTCAGCACTCTGATGGTCTAGATCCGATCTTTGATGCTGTAATATGCTGGTGAAAGTTGAAGACACTGAATAACCCAACGATTAGTAATCGTACACACCTCGTGCTGGTGTACAGCAGTCTTCCGCCCCTACAACTACTAAATACTAAAGTCAATACCTACTGTTTGGCATCCCATTGGGGGAATTTGGGCGATCCATGTGTCAACTTCGACCCGTGCAATCCCCAACTTCCCTTCCCTCTCCATGAGCTCCTATGACTGTGAATAGAGTCGTTTTGAACTTTTTGACCGTGGTGCTACACGCAGGACCCACTTCCACCTCCGTCTCCGAAAACATCCACTTCAAGATATCAATCCAGGGAAAAGGGTATATGTAGCTCAATCAGCAATTTGCACGCTGCTTTCCCACACTTCACTATACTTACTCTGTTCATCTATGCAATCTAAGGGCGCTACTTGCGCAAGGGGGGGGGGAGGGGAAATCAAGTGAGTTGGCCACTTACAGCTTTGGATAGCTGCAGGAGAGGAAAGAACTTCGGGGTGATGTGGACAGACATTATTTTCCCGTGTTTCCCCTCCCTGGCTCACAATTAATCTAGTTCACCCACCGTCTCGTGTTTTGGGCGCCCCCCCACCCCCCCCCCCCTGCGGAGTGGTATCAGCGCGAAGCTGCATACGACCCCCCTCCTACCAACCCAAACACAACCTTCTGCAGAGGGATCCTCGATCGGCTCACCCCTGGTGGTCGCTTACTGCAGATAGCATCAAGAAACTCTCAGCAGACCTTCTACATCTCCGCTATGCAGCTGCTCACACCATGGGCATGCCCAAAACGTGCACCGGAAACATGGATCGGATTCAGAATTCGTTCTGTTACATTTTTTTCCTGTTTGCTTGAGCCGATGTTCTGATGTCAAGCTCGAAGCGCTGCGCAGCGCTGACCATAAAAATTTATGTCTACTCCCTAAATAAGCCCCTTACCAGAAAGGTCTTCAGGCGACGACTTTTGAAAACGGTCTGCCATGATATAGGGGCAGATGCGGACCACAGAACCATGTTTAATTTTTCCTGAACGGCCCTCTGAATACCAGAAAAGGGGGTCCCTAGTTCGATTCCTCTTGGTGACAAATTTTTGCATTTCGAGTTGACGTTCCAAAATTCGCGCAAAATGGAGTTCTGATTGTTCTGGTTGGTTCTAACTCCATTTTGCGCGAATTTTGGCACGTCAACTCGAAATGCAAAAATTTGTTACCACGAGGAATCGAACTAGGGACCTCCTTTTCTGGTATTCAGAGGGCCGTTCAGGAAAAATTGAACATGGTTCTGTGGTTCCCGCATCTGCCCCTATATCATGCAAAAGACCGTTTTCAAAAAGCTTGTCACGCCCTGAAAGACCTTCCTGGTTAGCTGAATCTTACCAAACAACGACTCCAATCCATCAGCAGCTCGATTAAATTTGTAGGCATAGACTTGTCTGGAAGATCGATACCTTATGCTACTGTGCTTGTTACCGGCAAGTCAACGTAGCGATCATACATTAAGTTGTCACTACGATTGTGAAAGCAAGTGGATAGGTGGATGAAGGTAGAGTAAGTGGCGCATCCCAAAAGGGATGATGATTGATTGAACAACAAACGGCGCTATCGCCAGATACTGGGGCATCCTCCAGGGCTAAACCTAGGAGACTAACTTAGAGAAAAGTGAAAATTGCTCCCGCATCCTAGATTCCATCCACTCCCGACTACGGCTTAGTCCCGTTCTTTTACAAAACGAAGACGTTTTGCGTGGTTCCGAAGGCGTTGCCACACCAATGACCCTATATCTTGCAATAGCGCCCATAAAACTTTATCCTTTAGGCCTTTTCACACAAAGTGCTCGATAAGTTCTGCTAAATCAACAGTTTTTTTTTCTAGTTTCATCTCAGTGTCCACGATTGGCTATGGTGACTTGGTTCCCGTTCCAGATACATGGGGCCATACCGTGGCAATTATAGCGTTCCTCTCAGCAGGTAATAACTTTTCCCTTCAATATGCCATTTAATTTACAAGTCTTAATTATTGATTTCTAGGAGTAGTTATTCTTTCAACTTTATTCGAGAGATTTGGATGTTATCTGCAGTATGTACACTACATTGGACAGTAAGTGAAAATATTTTAGCAAATTTTATGCTGTCTCAAAAGTTGCGCCCAGTCACAACTAGATGACCCTTACTATCACCAGGCGACCTTAGCCACACATCAGAGACCCTTAACGGAGGGGTCGTACTTAGGTTCTGGAAGAGGTAAGGAGGATGCAAGGATCGCATTGCATAGGGCACTATTGAGGAGTGCATTTTCGAATGGGTAGTACAGTTTTTCGGGGAAATTAGCACCGCTTTCTTACCCGTGTGAGGTAACATAACCAGCACCAATGAATTAGCACCGCCTTCTTACCTATGTGAGGTAAAATGTAAAATGCCCCCCGCCTAGCTAGGAATTTCTTGATTTTTTTTCTCAAACGAGTGGTGTGGAGAGTGGCGGCGGACTGGGACACGTATGGGGTAGACAGGGTTGAGGTAAAAGACAATGAGGAAGGCAGGTAAGGATGGCAAAGGTTTTGGGTGATCTTATTGACAGGGGTCATATTTGTGGAATTTCTTCCTCAGCTTAACTATGATGCTCACCAGTAATAAATATTAGGTGTGAAAGAAAGTTCTGAGAACACCCCACAGCCAAACTTTGAAATTATATTTTTTCATCCTTTGTTTTCTAAGACCCGGAACATATTGACCATCAGACTTAGCAATACTACGCCAACCTCGGGCAAATTGGCTGACACGCACATTTGTAGAAATTAGGAGAATTTTTGTCAAACAATCTTTTGAAGTCGGATTTGCAGTCCTTCTCGTTGTCGACTTTCGTCCCAAGTAAAGACGAGAGAGGAAGTGGAAGACGTATATGCATAGTGTTGATCGCATATCTAGACGGCAACCGCGGTCCAGCATAGATTTGAGAAATCTGTGGCATAACCGAACAGACCCTACTTCGACGAGCGTGACAGAAACAATCACCATGGGAATCCCGTCAATAATTCAAACGGTTTAACAACGTCACATATTCCATAAGTTGCATCAAGCATTACCAATACTCCTTTTTCATATCTCAAACCAACGCTGCGTCGCATATGTTAAACGCAATAGTCCTCTGTCTTCGCCAATGCCACATGCCCCCCTATCCTGCTACGTGCTACGAAAGTACATGTTGCCGATTCCACCTCGTGAAATCGTGGCGGAGCTCCACGACCACATTTCCATAGACTTGCTATTCCTGAAGAGCCTTGAAGGCAACGTGCGTGAGGCACTCAAGACGCTAGCTACACGGTTGTTGAAAACTGCTTGGAACATCTCTCGATTTCGCCCGACGACGTCTTGCTGGACGTATTCGGCCGTTGCGTCGAGGAATCAAAGTCTCCGTGCGTAGGGTCAAGCCGTAAAATGAAAGAGCCTACTTGAGCAGATACCTCCCCATTCTATCACACTGACCAGATTCTCACAATGCATCCTCTCGAAGCTTGAGTATCCAGGCCAGTACGCACAAGATGGCCTCGGATTCTCGCGAATAAGTAGATTCTATGCGATGCAAACCCATTATTGTGGAATCTGATGCTGACAACCGTATCGTCAGTACACAGTCCGCCCCTAACTTATATACCACCATGGCAGATTACAGGCATTCGAGAAATCCAAGGCGAACTGATGTTCCCAGATACTTTCTTCCAACCTAATAATGACGATGTCACGACCGTGGCATCATGCCAACTTTGTAGACACCTTTGAATTGTCTTCCGCATTAAGTTCCTTATTTTTTAAAGAAGTTTCGCGAACGCAAGACGTAGATCTGGGTGGTGGTAGTACTATCCGGCAGGAGTTGATCACCCCGGTCTGAACATTTGGTGAGTGTTTCCTTCAGCATGTCACACTGACTCACTAGTAGAAGCGGCGAATGGAGAATCAAAACTCATAAAAATGCTTCATCGTTAAGCTAGATGGCTCAGATGCTACCGCCCATAGCTCCGTCCTCTCGGAAGCAACCGAATCGGTACATTTCCAACCCGTTCCGCCCGATTTTTCTTTTGCTCCGGGTCAATACGTATCTACTCCTTTTCGCGGATTCTTCAGCTTAATAGGTACTACTCCCTAGCAAACTGTAAGAATCGTGTTTTTTCAAGGTGTGTCCACGACGACTAAGAGCAGTCTTACGAAATCTAGACACCATATTGGAGGCGGCTTGTGATGAGACGGTAAGTGAAAGAGTAAGGAAATCAATAAATCGAAACCAATCAATATTTATAGGGTACGAATCAATCCGAGCAATCGTTGTGTGAAAGTGGTAAAGCGATTCAACATGAGGTGAGTGCTTCTTTTTATTGGCACTCAGTAAAGAATAATGTGATGTACCTTGCCGCCCTTTGGGATACGCCATGCATCCCACTTTCACTCGGAATTGCAATGATCCTATTTAATTTTTCTGCATAATGTGAATGCATGTTTCTTTTCAGACTGGCGTTATTGCCATGGGGAATGGCGATCCACGTACAGTACTTTTGACCAAAGATCAGTCAGACGTGTATGCGACGGTCTCCTCACTTCACCGAATTGCATCCAATTCCAGTTTGCAGAAACTGAGTGTTCGCGACACGGAACATGTTAGCTTATTCATCCTCTAGCCTCCGATAAGACCCCATCCCCAACTTTTCCTGTTCAGGCATTGCAAGCTCTTCGAGTCATTCATCACAAGTTGAACAAGACTACATTGCGCCAATCGTCGCGTGAACGGAAGCCGATGGACTGCAGGCGAACTCTCACGGAATGAGAACAAAACCCCTTTTTCGAAGAACTCCCACCAAAAAGAATCAAAGGTCAGTCAGGTACATCATGAAGGCACTGTAAACCCTGCTTTACTGCCCAGGGGTCGGTTCTGTAAGCCCCAACTCAGGAATGGGTCCCCAAACTCTGCATTTCTACTCTGCTCGAGACACAACTGTCATGGTCAAGAATAGGGGAAACGTCCAGAGATGCAGAGATTTGAGGACCGATCTCCGAGTTAGGACTTGCTGCACCCGGCCTGAGAAAACAAAATTTTGGGTGTGGGAAACCACGCCTACCTGAAGTAAGCAAACCAGCCCTTTTGGCGCTTCTGCTGGGGCCGTATGCTGAATGTTGGGGAGGGGATGGGGTCCCCGACGGTCGACGGACTACTTCAACTCGGTCCTTAAAACCGCCTCAATTTGATGCTTACCTCAGGACTAAGCCTTAAAGAGAGGACGGACCTGCGAGAGAGCGCAGGTCCGTCCTCTCTCCAAGGCTTAGTCCTGGGGTCAAACCAGCCCTTTGGCGGAGCTGCTGGACCTAGCTGCACCACTTCGTCATCACTCTCCTACCGTACCGACCGAGTTCAAGTAGTCCGTCGACCTCGGGGACCCCATCCCCTCCCCAACATTCAGCATACGGCCCCAGCAGAAACGCCAAAAGGGCTGGTTTGCTTACCTCCGCCTACCTGGGTAACCACACCCCGGGATGCTGGAACGCTGCACTCATATAATCTCCAAAAGAAAAAAAGGTTCTCTGGAATAGAGGTCCTCATAATGCCTTCAGACCGTGTCCACACCTAATCATTATCTTCACCACCAAATTTGTTTACAAATGCTAGCAGCTGAACCGCAACGCGACCACCCGCGTCTCACTTCAGCCAGTGTCCTTTTAGTAAATATGCACAGCGCACAACTTTTAGTGTTAGGTCATGTAAATATGTACAGTACTTCATAGTTATGATGTATTTTGTATAATATCACATTGTTATCGATAAGCACCTCACTGTTCAGGTTGTGTCACGTTGTATTACATAGCGCGTATTGCCATCATTCCAAGGCATTCATACCCGGTCTGCATACTTATGAGCTTTGTTCAGTGATGTCACTTGCAATAATATTGATTAATCTCTGTTGATAAAATTGATAACCTACTTCTACCTACCTCTTGTGTTGCGGAGTAGAAAGCAATCTGCAGGTATTGAATGGCTTGATGGCTGAAACAAGGCTGTAAAGCGCTACCGACACGCTACCTTTGCGTTCATAACCCCTCAAAAATCATCGTATAAGAACAGCACGCAGATAAAAAATCCTCAGAACTCCGATTGGATGGTTGAATGCATGGCTCATCCCAAGGAGAGACTGATCAACACTGCGCACCTCGCCAGCATTTTTGTCAATGAACGCTTCGAGAAAAATACTGGGTGCATAGTCGTGTAGAAAGAAGAAAATAGTTAGCGCTTTTAATTACCCTGGAGTGCGCCATGCACTGGGTCTCCTTTCAAAATGTTAGGACGTGTATTACTCAAATGCGAAGTTCTGGATCGAATTGACACACACCACTCAAGCATTTACACAAACAAGACTGGATCGAACTAGCAGCTACGGTTTTGAAATCAGTATCTTGGCCTTATGTGGAGGGACGAAAACGCTCTGAATTGACTAAAGAACAAGAGCAATTCATGCAAACAACACAGCACGGCTAGCCGCTTTGCTACACTACCTCCAAGTTAAGCCGAAGTTAAAGCCATATACTGAATTCTATCGTGATAAAAGAAATCAACAACTGTATTAATTCCCATGTAGCTATTTCCAATGAAAATTTGGCACGTGAAGCTATTCCAAATATTATGGAGACCATCACCCACTTCAATATAATAAGGTCTAAATCTTTGATATGTTTCTCGTCGTTTTAAAAACCGGAATACAACAACAATAAACAAATAAATGTCAATGACATGGCACCAAAGGCGAAGTATGACAGGAAACTTACCTTAGCATACTCATCAGACGTCGTAAACGCTCGCCTTCTGAAGGTAGCACATCAACAATAGCTATACACACAAGCCCACCTTTCTAAACTTGTTACATGTAATAGTACTTGACGCTCTTTTGATGGCATCGAAAAGTCTCCATTTCGTTGGTAAATAGAATGGCTCGAAAACGTGTGGGAATGGCGTGTCAAAGCCGCACACTCGCTCAATTGGTGATTCCAGATGCAGGAAGCATCGTCGCTAAAAAAGGAAAAATAATTGATAGCATTGATAGCATCGCAAAGAGTAAGTGATAGTTAAATAATATTATAAAATTCAATCCGTTCATAAAAGTTTTAAAAGGGAATGGAGATATGCAGAAAATAACAAAACAGTAACCTGTATGGCAGCAGCAATTTCAGCTCCAAAGCCACTCGTTATTGGTGCCTCGTGAGTAACTATGAGTCGCCCTGTCTTCTCCACGCTCTAAACTTGAAAACTACAATATTTGCAATCACTGCTCCAGATATATATAACTATTTTGGAACCTAAACCTGCTAGGTGCAAGAAACCCTAATGTAGTTCAACTATGGAGGTAGTAAACACCAAAACTGGAGTAACCGGAGAACTATTCACTAGCTTTCAAAACCAAGCAACTCCTTTGCGCTCCACTCAAAACCCAGTGCTTCTATTCACAACATTGAACTCCTCCTTCAATGCACTGTTTCGCAGCAGCATGCCATCACTTTGCGAGCAATGTGTAGCTATAACCCATCGCGTTTTGCTCTGTGCAATATGGGAGCAATGGTTTTCAGTAAAGGGAAAATTTGGCGACAGTTGGAGGTGGGTTTCGTTCGTGAGAGGAACTACGAAGACCGCAACAACACGCTGATGTACTGGTCGCGCCGTGCTCTCATATATGGAAGTTTCAATCGAGCAGATTGTTTAACACATTTTCCTTATTACTTGCCTTGACAACTGCATCCTCATCCCAAGGTTGAATCGTCTGGAGATCGATAACTTCAATAGACATCCCCAACTTGTTCTTTTGCCATCTGTGCTGTTTCAAGCGCGACATGGACTTGAGTTCCCCAGGTAACTACTGTCATGTCAGATCCTAAAACATGTAGAAATTCATGTTCACACCACAAGTAACCTTTTTTTTGAGCTTGCAAAGACCTACCTTCCAGATACTACTTCAGCCTGACCGGCAATTGTAATAGTCCTCTGTCGCGACGTTTCTGCTGCTCATTCGATATAGAACCTTGAATTGTCTAAATTTCTCCTCAGATTTAGCCTCATGACAAGACGTCAAAAATATGCGCCACGCTTAGGCTCGAAAAATATACATGGATTCGGATCGCGAATGCAGGACAACAAGAGTCCCTTTGCTTGAATGGGGCCACGGGGGATAACAACCTGAAATAAACTCCTTATTTCACAATTCTAGTGGAAATCTCGAAACAAGACAAGAAAATGCTTACCTTAAGGCCGGGGTGTGCGTGAAATGTGCTTCCGGGCTTTGCGAATGATACAAGCCACCGTGCCCGACTGCTCCATAGGTGGACCTGACTGTCAGAGCACCACAGTTGAACATACCACCGCTACGATATCGATACTTGGCTGCTTCATTTACCAACTATAAGCATATTGGACAATTCCGTTGGAATAAAAGTAAGCAAAACAGCACCACTCCTACCTGATCGTACGCCGGAAATATATAGTCACTGAACTGGACCTCAGCTATCGCAGTACTTCCACCTACAGCTACGCCTATGCCGAACCCAACGATACCTTGCTCGCATAATGGTGTATTGAAAAACCGATCTCCCACGCTACCAAATCTCACTATCCGTAAAATAGTTTTTATTAGGTTTTCAAAACTAATCTGACTTCAGCTTACCATATTTGTCCTTCAATCCCAACAGAACATCTAAACACTCCACCAAAGGCAACATCTTCACCAAAAACCATGGCCGTTTTATCCGTTTCCATAGCGATATGTAGGGCACTATTCACTGCTTGGCAGACATTCATTTTTTCGCTTGGACCTCCAGCTAAATATCAAAGAAACTAAAAAGAAAAC